ACAGAGCCACTCAGTTGTAAAGCCAGATTAATTCTTCCGTTTTAGTCAAATGGCTCAGTTCAATAAAGTCTGTCACATACTCCTCAATAGGACAATTTCATTGACGGTAATGATGGGAGAGTTGACACCGGGGCTAAAAGGTTCAAGTAGTGAACCGTTTTTCGGCACAATTTGACGAAAGCCTCAAACGCTTCAGAAAGCCTCAGTTTCCCATCACTACTTGACGGAGACACATGATCCCCTGTGCTGGATTAAATGTGGTCTATGTAACAGGCATTCAACAGCTTCACACAATATGCAAAGACAACTATCGATAAACCAAGATTGAAACACAGGGGAAAACATAATCCGGATAACAAGAGGTTAACAAGGCACACATGAAACGGATAAACCACAATGACAACTAATGAGGGTAACTATGGCAACAAACAGGGTGGCAAAGTGCCCTGAACAAGGAAGTAAACACAGAAACAATGGGGAACAGAACACTTCAAAACAAAGTCCATAAACACAAAACCAAGAGACGGGAACACAGTTCCCCTCTCAGATCATGACAGTTGTACTGTATCTTTCAACTAGGGGTGTCCATGGTTAACCGATTAATTGTTAAAAATTGCGTAACCGAGTGAAACATTTTGCTCAGTTAACTGTGGCGTCAATGGCGTGCATTCAATTTAATTGCAATACATTTCTGCACCACTAGAGACTGCCAGACCGCTCCCAGACATTTGTAATGTCCATAAGAAGAAGTCATGACCTGTTTTCAAATATGAAGCGGGCAAAGAAAAGCACAGCGTGGGAGCACTTTAAAATCGAGAATGACGGGGCAAAATGCTAGTATTGCAATGCAGTGCTTAGATATACTTCAAGTACAACCTCGTTGTTGTACCATCGCAACAGCCAACACCCGGGCATCATTAGAGAGGCGGCTGCGGCGCCTGCGAGTTCCTTCGCCCAGCCTACCATCCCCACGATGCTAACGCAAAACATGTGCTAAAGCCGAATCCATAACACAGGGGATTTGCAGAATGATTGAAAAGGACTTGATGCCAATTAGAATGGTGGAGGGCAAAGGCTTTAAAGAACTGATGAATATCAATTGTTCAACCCCGCTACAGCATTCCCTCGCGTTCGGCAATCACGCGCCGCATTGAAAAACGTTGTGAGGCAAAAAAAGATTCCCTCAAAGAAGATCTACAGTCACCTGATGTAGTTGCCATGACTACGGATTGCTGGACTGCTCTAAACACAGGAAGTTACATAACTATTATGAGCCATTACATTGACGAAGATTGGGTTTTAAAATCGTTCGTCCTTTTAACTGAAGCCCTGCCCGTTCGCCATACAACTGAAAACCTAGCGAACAAGGTTCTGGTAGAGTTTAAGACTAAAGTCCGAAACTCCCTGTTTGAAAGAATGAAGGTACCAGACGATTATTGATAATTTCACTAAGTTAAAGTTTGCATGTTGTAAAATCTAAATAGGCCTACGTGTGTGCAGGTTACTGAGCCAGAGATGTTGTCATCCCCAGCGATGACTGCTTGTATATTGGACCCACGCCATAAGCATCTGAGGTTCTTATCTCCAGAAAAAAGAGCGCTGGCAAATGCAAAACTCTGTAGCCTCGCAGAAAATGTACCATGTACAATGTACCAAATGTAACCGAAGCCGTTACGCAAAGTGTGGAACATGGGCAAGAGGAGGCGGCCGCGGCCCCAGCACAAAGTGCTAAAGACAGTGCAGCTACGGCGATGACACTCATACTTGGCGAAAACTACTTTTCATCAGCCCTCAGCAGTTGTGAAACAGAAGTCAAAAACTTTCTTAGCAACAGTCCCATTGGCCTAGAAATGAGCCCCATAGACTGGTGGAAACTGGAAACTAAACGCCAGTCGATTTCCCAGATTGGCCAACCTTGCTAAACAGTATTTGTGTATACCTGGCACATCTGTACCTTCAGAGAGGGTGTTTTCGGCAGCTGGACTTACAGTAAATAGACTGTATTTACTCACTCCCGATCACGTCGACATGTTAATATTTTTTAATAAAAACTAAGCAATTCGAATACATAATTCCTGTAGAGCAGTCTGATTTAATTTGGTGCCTAATTTGGAAAATACAGACAAGAATATTCTTCTTTTTTTTTTTTAAGAAAAGAAAAATGTGGGTCTATGCCATGTGGGTCAGTTCGTTCAACAAGGAGTAATTCCACGGTGGCCGATTTAAATGTTACCAGCTAAATGACACATAATGAGACGCCAATAACGTTCGTGTTTTTTCCGTCTATTTGAAAGTTAGGCTAATAAACATGTTGCATTCTATACGGCCTGATTACGTAAGTTCCATAGCTGCCTCCAATTTTCCTCAACTTGAGTAATTAAGAGGCGATATTTGACCGGCATATCATCAAAATGTCCGTTAAATGAAACCTCTGCCGGTCACTTTGATGGCATCAGGTTTTTCTAGCGGAAACTCATGATCTCGTGGTTGGGGCGCGCACTTTCAACACACCTTTAATGTTCATTCAAGTTTATTCTGTAACTAGCATTAAAGAGAAAGGGATTGCTCTGCACTCCTACTTGAACTCGTCTATTCTAGAGGTCTGCATGGAGCACCTGAGACCAGAGGACCTGGGATCCGACCCTTAGAAGTTTGGGTCTATATTTTAAAATGGTCAGTCGGATCCGGGTCGAGTCCCAATTTATTACTTCCCGGGTCTGTTTAACATTGAGTGTAATATCCTACCCGAGTCGATCGGACTCGGAGAACACCCCGCCATTATCAGAGTCAGTCAGTACTGCTATTGTGTTTTTTGTAACTTGCAACTCATAAAATTAGGATAAGAATCCCTTATAATAAATAAGGTAAAAAAAAAAAACCCAACAACACCAATTGCGCTAAAAAGCTAACACGAATGTGCAGTCTCAAGCACGTAATGTTTCTATGGCAACCAGAGCTTCTGCAGTGACACAATGACTTTTGACGATTGGCTCTTTTACTTAAAACACCGGAGTTATTCCGCCAAGCTGTACTTTACACTTTCTCCCATTTTTATAATAATATTAATGAACCGTCTTTTCCGTAACTGGTTTATTGATTTGTTAATAGAAATTTAGTGTGGAATATCCTCCACACAATCGGATCCAGTCTGTGTCTTCCCACCAGGTTCGGGTCCAGCTTTTGAAATAAACAGACAGGTGCGGGTCGGTTCTCTTTGGGTTCGGTTATGAATTTTTTTTCATCAAAGAGCATCAAAACGGCATTTATTGTTTGAATTTTATAATAAAATGGACAGAATTTGAGATTCGTATCGTAAGTAAATGAAACACGGAGCTTATTGCAATTATTGGTGGTTATTTACTGGTGGTTAATGGACTACAACTCTTTATTCGTCGGTACAAATGTGTACCGAACCGAAAGACATGTACTGAAAAATACTGGGTACGAATTATGTGTATCGTTACCCCACTAGTAGGGAGGGACGATGAGAAAAGACCAATCAGGGACTGTTTTACAGCAGAAGTGCTGTTGGATTGAAGAATAGAAGCACATGACTGGAAGATCAGCGCTCATCCACAAGGATCTAAATTCATGTATTTGAGGTATTATTGTCATGTGTATTGCTTGTAAAATTTTCGGTCCCACTTTATATTAAGTGGCTTTAAGTACTATGTACTTACATTGAAACGAATAATTTGATACAATGCACTTATTGTGTACATACATGTTTTTACATTGTACTCATATTGTAAAAAATACCAGCATGTAATTACAGCTGTAACTAATTTATGTAATTACATCTGTAATTACACAGCTGACCCATCCCTTACACTTTAACCTACCCTTAAACCTACCCATACCACCACACCTGTCCCTAACCTTACCCTCAATAGCAGCAAAAGTGTTTTACAATACAACATGAGGAAAATAAGTACATTATACTTATTTTTCAATGTAAGTACATAGCACTTTAAGCCACTTAATATAAAGTGGGACCGAATTTTCTTCTTTCCCACAAAAACAAAAAAACAAAAAACATTTAGTGTCTCATTTAATTGGGTGGACCAGCTGTCAATATGAGTGGGTCAGTGCCACCATGACTCACTGCTTTGCAATGGGAGTAGATTAGTTAGGGGTTAATAATAATGGGTCCATCCAGTCTCTTTTAAACGACGTTATATAACAGTAAATAAACAAAGCTATAGATCATGAAATTGAATATTTCTGATTCTTTAATGCTCAGCATAGTACATCAGTTTACTGTAAGTTTGAGTCCTGACTGGATACCCTTTTCCAGTCTTGTTTCTCTCCTCTCCCATTGCTTCTTAAAGGGATACTTGACCCAAAAACGAAAATTCTGTCATCATTTACTTACCCTCAAGTTGTTGCAAACCTGTGTTTCTTTCTTCTACTGAACACAAAGGAAGATATTTTGAAGAACAATTGGAATCAAACGGTTGTTTGGCCCCACTGACTTCCATAGTAGAAAAAAAAAATACTATGGAAGTCAATGGTGCCAAAGTTAAAATCGTTCTTCAAAATATCTTCCTTTTTTTGTTCAGTAGAAGAAAGAAACACAGGTTTGCAACAACTTGAGGGTAAGTAAATGATGACATTTTCGTTTTTGGGTGGAGTATCCCTTTAATTTTTCAATTCTGCCATACCTTTATAAAGGCAAATAATAAATAATAATAATAATAATAAAAATGTGCTTAAATAGATAGGACTACCAGTAATACATAAGAGATATAATACGTTCTCAGAGAGTGCATTTAGTAGCTCATTAGTAGACAGTAGAGCTACTGTCACAGTACGGAATACTGTAGTTCTGATAGTTGCGCCACCACTTTTATTAGTTTTCTCCGAAGAGAAAAAGAAGCAAACAAATCTACATATGTGTTCTTGTCTACACTAGGTTACCAGAGTAAAGCAACAATGATAAGACAGATGTTAAAAATAGAAAAATATTGAATTCACCTGGTATCGTTTTGTTGTCTCACCTTTCTGTTTGGCCACTTTACGCACTGTCATGGCAGCTTGTCGTTTCTGATATTCAGAAATTTCAAAACCTAAAAAAAAAAAAAAAAAACAACGACATCAGCAGCAGAAGATATGAGGGAAGATCACAAGGAAAGCAACTATTTTTGCGGCATTAATGACATACGGAAATGCCTTTAAAGCAGCAATTAAACTTTATGCCAATTTACCAATTTTTTCATCCTCTTGGACCATCTTGCGCTCCTCATGAAAAGCCCTCAGCCAGCGAATCTTCTCTTCTGGCTTCTTGGCCAGAAAGACGTGAATCTCTTCGCTTTCTCTGTTGTGCAGCTTGAACGCATTTTTCACGCTAACGTTAAAGTCGTCGTCCCGTCCATCAATAGCATCTCTCACTGCATACATATCCATGTCAATACGTCCTTTGTAGTAAAGTATGTCCCGCCGTATCAGGTCCTGAGAAGAAATGCAGTGCTCACTAAAGGTAGTTTTCAATGACCATACAAGAATCAAACTCATCTTTGCAACATGCCAATGTTTAAATGGAAGAAAATACAGGCTGTATATGATTTACATCTACAGTAGTGGCAAAAGTGATGTTCCTATGGGATATTTTTTTTTATAATGGTGGCAACTTCGGTCCTGGAGGGCCACTGTCCAACAGAAGGTGTTTCTCAATGTCAAGGATACTTCCTTAGCAGGACGGGTCCTTCCAAGTCATTTCCTTCAGAGGCTAGGCAAGGGTCCTCTTTAGCTTTCGGAGAACATGTAAATGGAACAGGCTAGCAAGTGCACGTCATTGCGTCATTACATCAGTGAAAGGTCCGCTTCGGCGCTGCAAAAATCGCTGGTGTACTGCACTGTTTAAATACACTTGACAGTCCTTATTTTGTCTTGTCTGTCCTCATAGAAATAAATAAAGTATAAGGGATAATGTATAACCAGGCGGTTGTTAGTGAATACAACCCCGCAAACTCTAAAGCAGAGGGGTCTTGATCAGCGGGGATGTATTCGCTGTAACAACCGCCTCGCTATACATTTTCCCACTTATAACATGGCTAACGTTACCTACCAAATAAATCAATAATTTGACACAAGAGTTTATTCATTCAAAAACGATTATATTACCGGAGTGAACAGAACTACCTCCATAGCAACATGATCTAGCTGTTAAAACATATGCAATTGTAAAATATGTGACCAACAAAAAAGGCTATAACGTTATATGAAGTAAAAATTAAAAAGTTAATCACCAGTAAAAGGGAACAGCTTTAAATCCCCTCAGCAAATTTGAGCCGATATGTTAAATAGTTTAACAAACATTAAATAAATGGCTAAACTGAAATTATACTTGCTTACATTTGAAAGCATATTGCCGTTATCACTCCGACTCCGCTACGGTCGACATTTTTTAGTTTTTGAACAAGATAGCAAAGCTGCGCATAGGATTGTGGGTGATTTAAGAGCGCGAAGGCTACACATATGCGTCCTTTCCTGTGTATGGGATATTTTCCGAACGAAGGACTCAGTCCTTGGTTGAAATTCTGAGGATCCTCGACATTGGAACAGTCCTTCGACGGACGTCGATGACGTAGCATCCTCGAAATTCCGGCTTCCGAGGATCCTTCCTTGACATTGAGAAACGCCTAGAGTTTAGCTTCAACCCTAATCAAACACACCTGAACAAGCTAATCAAGGTCTTCAGGATTACTAGAAAGTTACAGGCAGGTGATTTTTTCAGGGTTGGAGCTAAACTCTGTAGGATAGTGGCCCTACAGGACTGAAGTTGCCCATCCCTGGATTAAACCATCAAAATATGAGGAAAATATTTTATATTTTTAAATTATGTTAAATATGAGGGAAGAACAAAACACTAAACTTGGTTAAGCTATTTATCTGACTAAATAATTAGGCAAAAAAGGCAAACTAAAGCTACAGATTATATTTTACTATACAACAACAACAACAACAACAAAAAGATGGATAAGCTCACAGAGAAAAACCATTGACTAGAATCAGTTATTCATATTTTCTTAGTTCTCTTTCAGTTTTCCATGCGTTCATAATTTTTTTTTTTGTATGAGAGCCTGGACAAAAATGATCCCAGACAGCAAACTGACATTGGATCAACGTGGAAACGACGTCTCTCATGACATTGAAACAACGTTGATTTGCTCATCGAATTAACGTTGAACCAACGTCAGACGCGGCATTCTTCAAAGCTAAATGAAATCGAAAATTGGTTTGCTTTCATAACGTTGAAACAACGCATTGATTTCAAGTTGATTTTCCGTTAGTTTTGAAAGAATGACGCGTCTGACGTTGGTTCAACGTTAATTCGATGAGCAAATCAACGTTGTTTCAATGTCATGTTTCCACGTTGATTCAATGTCAGTTTGCTATCTGGGATGTCTGCACAATTTGGCATGTTTCATTGCGTTATCAAAGAAAACAATCTCCAAGCACAACCATGCAATATGCTTACAAAATCATTAACCGTGTGACTCTGTTGGGGCCACAGTTCACAAGCAAAAACACAACATGACATAATATACGTTGTGTTCATTGTAACAAGAAGTTATTGTGTTCACATCTGTCAACTGTCATTCTGACTATCATCTTACGGTAACACTTTACTTGAAGGGGTGTGCATAAGACTAACATGACACCTTCATAATCATGACGTGACACGTTATGAATATGATGTTTGTGACAACTGTCATTAAGTGTCATTCACTCAGTTATGAAATGTGTAAAGCAAATATGAAATTGTTTGAGATGACTTTGACACCTTGACATTAACCAATACATCATAACCTGTCAGTGTCTTTGTCATGACAACTTGACATTACTAAGAGAACACAACCTGTCATAAACATGACACAGCAGATTCATTTTCAAACTTAAGAAACCACCTAGCTTTATTGGTTAACATTACATTAAACTGTCAGGTGCTTGGATTTGACATTGGCTGTCATGAAGACATTATAACTTTTTAATGACAAATTCAATTAGTACGACTGTAGTTGAGGTCACGAAAAATATTCATGACAGTTATAATGCCTCATGACAGCCAATGTCAAAACCAACCACATGACAAACTTAACTTAATTTTATATCAAGTTGTCATGACAAAGACACTGACAGGTTATGATGTATTGGTTTATGCCAAGTTGTCATAACAAAGACATCTTAAACAATGTCATATTTGCATTCAAAATGTCATTATTGAGCGAATGACACTTAATGACAGTTCTCATAAACATGCATAAACCTTACTTCATAATTATGATATGTCATGTCATGATTATGAAGGTGTCATGTCAGTCTTATCCACACCCCTTCAAGTAAAGTGTTACCCATCAGACAAACGATTCCGGTCAGGTGAAATTTGACTCAGTGAAGAAAGTACACAGATATTTCTGGGGGATTTCAAGGTGTTGCATTTCATGTTGTGTTTTCATTAATCTTGATTTCATACAACTTGAGTGCTTTTTTGGGGGGGATATAATAGCGTCTCACATATGCGCACGTCCCATAGCCGTGCAGAGAAGAACAACAGCCATGGTCAAGAATTTTGTTGAATAATACATTACATTTCAAGTTTGTTTTTCACTAAACCCTATAGTTTTGCCCCAGAACACTTAACATAAGGCACGTGTTGCATGTGATCATTCTGTGATACTTTTAAAAAAAGCTTTATGCTGGTCAGTGGTCACTATTCACTGGCATTATATGGATGAGACCGAGTTGGATTGGAATTGGAATGTTGTTGTGATTCATAAAAGAAAGAAGGGATACAGCATTAGAACTAGAGATGCACCGATGTGAACATTTTGGCCGATACCGATAACCGATAATTCTTTATATTTGAAAGCCGATAACCAATATACCGGCCAATAAATCTAAATCCAATTTTTATATAATTTTTGAGAGCCTGATTACAAAAACAAAAGTCTAACAATTAAAAGCCATTTCCCAATCGCACAATTATAATGTTCTCATTATAATTTCATGGGTAGCCGATATGACAGCACATTTTGCACTTAACTATATTGTCCTTTGATTCCAATCATATTTCAAGCAATTAAGATCAATCATGTTGAACAGTGCGCATCTTAAGTGTCTTTCATTATTTATCAGCTTTAAAATATCAGCCAAATTTTATTATCGGGCTGATAACGATAACATAAAAATGAACAAATATCGGCCGATACCGATATGGTGGCCGATATATCGTGCATCCCTAATTAGAACAACACCAGGATTGAGTAAATGATGACTTCATTTTCATTTTTAAGGTGAACTAGCCCTTTGAAGCCTGTGAACTTGATTTGCTGAAGGAGAGTTTCAAGATGTCCATAGAGCATTTGTAAGCTTCTGCATAAAATGTGAATGCGGATAAAACTCAATCCTCGTGAATCTGGCTGGAAGCAATGATTTATAGAAAAAATATACACAGAAAAAAATATATAGAATTTTTTTTTTTTTTTTTTTTTTACACAGACCTATCCTTAGTATCTTACTGTTTTTTTTTCTTCCATGGAATGAAAGTTGTTGTGTTGGACCCCACTGACTTTCATTGCATGGATAAAAACAGTTAGAACCTTATTCAAAAAACCCTTTTTTGTTTGTTTTGCAGAACAACATGATTGTGAGATACATACAATCTGTAATCTGATACATACAGTACATGACTACAATAAAACTCATGATATCCTTTATATTCATTGTGATTAAATTTAATCTTTTGACAGTCATGAAACATACAGGCGTATGTTTACAGTCATGAAACATTTATGCAAAAGGAAAGACATGCAAATTTATAGATGTTGTGAAAGAATGCTGATGAAGTAAAAGCATGTTGGAAAGTATTAAAATGGGAAAAACAAAGACTAATTATGGTCATAAATGATGTCTCACTTAAAGAGCCCTAATCATAGCATTTGAAATGTTCCTATTTTTGTTTTAGGAGTTCCCAAAAACAGTTTAACATGCATGCAAGGATAAAAAAAACACTTTATTTGTCTTATAATATGCATTTATTTTTAACTGATTTGCTCACCGACTCCCAAATGATTCGTATAACGACTCATTTTTCCAAACCACTCGTTTGCGTGACGCTAATCGGCGGTGATTGGTCAGATGACAGACCCAGTCAGTTATTGTTTGTTAGCATAACGCATAAACATATTGATAAAGCACTGCAGTACTACAAGACGCTCTATTCTTTATGACAACTCCAATAACAGCGACAAACATTTCACATATTTTTAGAATAATTTGACATTGGAGACCTAAAAGCTGCGCTGAGTGTAACTTACACACACACACACATACTACCTCGCGCCTCGACGCTACAAAACCGTTCAAAACCCATAAAAGCAACAATTATTAATAATACTTACAGGTTGTGATTCATAGGAGGAAGCTGATCCATATACACTGGGTAAGTAAGTTACTGAGCTCTCCTTCAGGAACAATCGCTTGCGAATCCACATTTGAATTCATTTATGTTTTTGAACGATTCGTCATTAAAATGATGAGAACACAATCGGGCTATACTGTTGTGGTATCGTTGCAAATATGAACTCTAACCACCGATTCTTCACATGCTCGTCCCTGATAAATGAAAACAAAGTGGCTGAACTATCTTTGCATTGTAGAACACAGCGTCTTCTCGACATGATGCTATGATGAAGTATTTAAATGTGTAGACTTCAAGTTTACACTTCCGTCTGCGCGCGCAGTAACTGGGCGTGGCCAAAATGTCTCTACGGCACGATGTAACAGCTAATGACTCATTTCAAAAACAATTAATTTCATTGACTCAGAGTCGACTCTCACTTTTGAAAGACAATAACTTTATATATGGTGCACTCTCAGATATAATTCTTTGCAGGATGTTTTCCTTCCCTTAGAGCTATATTCCACACTATATGAACAGTCATTTTCAAAAATCCATGATAGGTGCTCTTTAAGGCAAAAGTGTGAATGCTTGCTAAATATCTGTTTTTGAAAACAGTGTCATGAGGCGCACACACGCAAAGTCTCTCACTCTCCCTCGTGCGCGCACTATACGGTTTGGAGCACAGTCGCACATGTGCGCTCTTGCTCACTCGCTCTAGAATCCGGGAGATTTGTAACTAATTTGCGGGCATCAGGGAACCGTTATCAATATGCAGGAGACTCCCGGAACGTCTGATAGCGAGGGGATTATTGAAGATGCCTGAGACAAAACGCTCCACGTTTTGGCTGCATTTCACGTGTAAAATTACGCGTCAGAGTAAGTGTGGCGATTATCTGAAGCCCATATAGAGTCACGCCAATCCATTGGCTCTTGACGCTCTTACGTCGTCATATTACATTAGCGCACATTATCTGATTTCATTGTGCGAAATGATTTCCAAGCGGTAGCGTAGAGTGGAGCTCAACTCTAGTCTACATTGATGAGCGGAGTAGTGGGAGTGGCTTGCGGAGCTGAGCATTGCAATGCACTATGGGGATTGTTGTCTACAATCCACAAGCACTAAAAAGTCCTTTTCTGCCTTTTATCGACCAAGAAGGACCCAAATTAGAAATGTATGATAATATTCTACTACATATATGACCCACTTTCAATACATATTCATGTCTCAACCAGTGGAATTACCCTTTAAATGCTTGAGTTGGCGAGTATCTACTGTATGTCCAATCGATTTCACTTGTAAAAGATCTGCAACTGCTACTTAGTATTATGTTGTGTAATTTTAGAGACATCATGTATAAAAAAATACAGATTTAGGATGCGTTTAGAATGCAGTTGTAATTCATAATCACATTTTGGAATTCAAATCTGGCAATGCAAATTAAGAAATACTTATGAATTTAAATAAGTCTATGTGTAATTTAAGGATCAGTATTCACACTTATTTATTTCTCTCATTGTTCATGCTGAAGACCTCAAATCCTTTTTCAAAGGGAACACAATATATTTTGTAAATGCCATGTACCTTTTTGCACAAGACCAGCTGATGATCAAAAAGGAAGAAGACTCGCTGCTGACTCCTGCCATAAGGCTGATATATCCACGACATCTCACCCGTGTAGATCAGCTCTGAACTTCTGTCCAGAATGTCATCACCCTAAGCAAAAAATAAATAAATAAATAAAACACTTTCAGTCATGGCAGACAAACTAGGACCGGCAGTGGACACCCTAAAAAAACATTTTATTAACAAAATAACTGTGTTATTCCCAAAAAAATTGGATTCCACACCACTTAACACACCTCCCAGTCCAACACTGAGGCTTGCCATTGAGCGATCTTATCAATGTTCTCCAGTCTTCTTTTGCGCTCATTGATTTGCTGGGTGACGTTCCTCATGACTGCAAGTGCTGCTGCCACATAGCGGTAATCACTGTGGGGGGACATAAAGACCCACAGACTATTGATGTATTTTATACATATAGAACTCATAAAACATGCTTTGGACATGAGTCACAGTAAAGACAAAATCTGACTAAACTAATAATACACTGTAAAACTTAACAAATGTCCTTTGGAAAACACTTTGGAATTGTAGGAACTAGGAATTGTACTATTTGCATTCTACGCCTTTGTTACTCAGAAAACCCTAGTTAATATAAACTAATCATATGAGGCAGAACTTTTAGGGTTTTTTTCAGAACTTCAGAATTTCTAGTTCCCAGCCTGCTTTGCTTCAGACTGAAGGAGCAAATGTTGAAATGAAGTTTTTGCACAAGATTAATACGGGGGGAGATTTATAAGTGTTTAATGTTCTGTTATGTTTGCTTTACAAAGGGCTTCTATTGTGTCTGTATATTGGGGAGGTTAACTTTGTGCTGTAGAGTTGAGTCTGTATTCTGGTCGAGGACTCTAAAACTGACTGCTTTATTTAAAGGGGAAATGAAGCAGTCAATCAAGTTTACATGATTTACAAGATGGATTTCCACTATAATCAACAATTATATAACAGTCCCTCCAGGATTTCACGATCTTTTTTTGTGATTTTTGCGATCAAAATGACTGATTTTGTGGTGGTAATTTCCCAAAATTTGTGAAAAAATTAGCGATTTATATTTAACATTTACCATAATAGTATTCAGTTCTTCCAGAAAAACGTTTTTTTTTTTGTGATTGTTGCGGGCAAAAATTGATTGATTATGCGGCCCGTTTTCTTTAAAAATGCGATGGAATATGCGGGATATTTATGCAATTTTATGCGATGAAATTGCAGGAATTTGCAAAAATTGAGCGAACTTGCAAAAATTGCGGTTTGACGAAAAAGAGAAAAAAAGTGATTCCCCCAACATCCTGTTAATGTAAGAGTCATTTCTTATTACTTCCTTTGATAAGCAAGCATACTACATCATAGAAAGTGCTGGGAATATTTAATTTCTCATCTTGTTTTATTTCAGACTGTAAGAGTGTAAATAAGGTGTGGCCCCTTTAAGAGCTGCGCGCTCCCTGTTGAACTCTCTGCAGTGTTATATGTGCGCCTCAAACACCCCATGTGTGCGGGTAATTTCTGTTTGATGCTACTTCTTTTATCTTATGTTGTTTATTAAGTAACGATGTGACAGTAGAACGTGCGACAGACAGTTATACGAGTTCGATTTGTGAGATGTCATTCGCCTCCGTGAGTCTGTCTGGCGTCGCGTAATTGCGTCACTTCATAACGTTCCCATGGAAACAGGGGGAAATGGCTGCTCTTATGTGAAGCAAACGCAACATTTTTCAACTTTCTGATAAGATACATGTGACTTTTTTGCAACGAAAATGCGAGGATTATGAAATTATGCAAACCCTGCATATTTTGCACGTAAATCGGCAATTTATGCGGTGAAAGTGCGGCGTATTTGAAAAAATGCGGCCCCCGCATAAATATGCGGACTTTGGCTGATTTTGCATTGAATTCAGCGATCGCATAATCGCGTTTTTCTGGTGGGACTGATATAAGAAACATGACAAATGTAAACATATAAAAGAAAAAACGTTATATATTTCGCCGCCAGGGCGCTAACATGTGACGTCACGGGGTTGGTTGGCTCAGGCTCTGGGCAGTGAATATCGTGACATCAAACTGTGTTTACACCAGTGTTTTGACAGCGAACGACTAATGTTAGGTACAGTCATTAGACAAAAAGACGATGTCTAATGTTATATGTTGGCAAAGTGAACATAGAAACATTGTTCGCGATATCTGCCATCATATTCCCGTCTCGTCAACACCATGTAAGTTAGCATGTATTTGTTTAAGGGGAAATGAAACGTCCATGTTTTCACACTGGTAGTGCTAGTAGCTACATACTGTATATTAGGAAAAAGTGTCTCCGCTCTGACATCCTTCAGGGAAAGCATCACCGCTTCCAACACGTCTAAGCATGGTAAACGTGCGCGGCACGCCGTTGATGCAGAATTGACCACGCAATACATGCTCAAGATCAACCTCTTGAAAGCAGATGGACTCTGACACGGTGGGCATCGCAATACAACAGCCACACTGAAACCTGGAAACGTTGCAAACAAGCTATTCGCCCCAAACCACCACTAACTGTTCTACACAGCAACGTAACATACATGTTGTTGACGAGACGGGAATATGATGGCAGACATCGTGAACAATGTTTCTATGTGCAGTTTGTCAACATATAACATTGGACGTCGTCTTTTTGTCTAATAACTGTACCTAACATTAGTCGTTCGTGGTCAAAACACTAGTGTAAACACAGTTTGATGTCGTGATTTTCACTGCCCAGAGCCTGTTAAACTAACAGCCAACCAACCCCGTGACATCACATGTTAGAATATTGCACAATGGCGAAATATAAAAAGATAAAAAGTTATAAAAAAAAATTCTTTTATATGTTTACATTTGTCATGTTTCTTATATAATTGTTGATTATAGTGGAAATCCATCTTGTAAATCATGTAAACTTGATTGACTGCTTCATTTCCCCTTGAATAAAACTGATAAAGTGCTAGTCTCTCTGTTAGTTTGAGATAGTTAGCTATGGCCAGCTGGATTATTGAAGCACTTACTTTACAGGAATAACACTTACTTGGTCTTTTTAAGCTAATCAGTTTGCATTTTAGTAAATCAGATCACTGTCCAAGTAAATACAACTAAGTAATTCCAAGTTGCGGAAAATGTTACATTAGTTACCTCAACTTAAAAAAATGAGTTGGTCAGAACACACCACCAGCATACGCATGTCACTTTAAATGATTTTTTGAAACTAGTTGTTGTTGAAACTAAAAAGTGTTTCTTACCAAAAAAATATATTTTCCAAGTAAATCAGTTAGCAAGCTTTTTAATTAAAGTTTGCTCTGTTTTTATAGCAAAACTCATCTATGTCAATCTTGAAGTTAACCTTTTGCCTGTATGGTGATTAGATTTGCTGTTTTGGACTGCCGCCTGTCTGATGTGCATCACAGCCTATATCTGAAGTATGTTTAAAGTTTAAAATGGCAAAATAAATAGCACAGACGGAGCAGCTCATTTCCATAATGACCAATGCAAACCACCAAGAGCGGCACAAATTAGCATTGGGACGCAGCAAATTAAAAATAACGCGGCTTGGTAATTGATATGTTCGGGTAGAATCTTCCTCTGGCATTTTAAATAAATTAACATGAGTGGAGAAAATTCTCTCCCCTCTATCACACACGCTCCACGGTTAAAGAGCTAAATGGGATAAGAAAAGCTTTTTTCAGTGTTAAATTATGGCACAAGCCCAATTATGGTAAATTGACTACCACAAACCTTAGAGAATCATGTTGCTTGATTCATTTAATTACTCTCCTTCCATAAATTTTGCATCTGAAAGTGAAACTCCTACGAATGCATTTGCAATAAGGTTAGCTGTAAAAATAACCCTGTCCACACTTTTTCAGAGCTAATTTCTCACTGTGTGTCTTTAGTAAATCATGACAGTAGTTTTTTTATATATATCAAAAGAGGGTTTGTGCTGGTTTAAGCTGGCTGTGGAATAAATCTGGCCGTGATTTTCTTTCATGGTCTCTGGAACCTCTGAAGTACTTAGAATTGACTCCAAGCCACCCCATGTGTTAGCAGAAACATTAACTATTACACCTTGAAATTGTAGAGTGGTGTGATGCATTACTGTTGAATGTGAAGAAAACTGAGGAGATGATATTCGATCCAAAGTCAATTGGAGATCATAGCCAAGTACATATTCATAACGTTCCAGTCACACAGGTGTTCTCATATAAATATCTTGATGTTTATATTGACTGTTCTCTTACACAGCAAAATCCCCAGTGTTAAATTAACACTGAGAGTGTTAAATTAACACAGAGAAGTGAGAATTATATAAACTCTGAGCAGAGTGTTAAACGAACACTGAATCAGTGTTAAAGTTAATGAGATAATTAAGTGAATAATTGAATGATGATTGAGCATCATTGAAGACACCTGATGTTAACAAGCAGAATCACTGAAGGAAAAAAACAGAAATTTTATGTCACCATTATGGAGATTAGTGTTTGGTTTAGTTGGGCTCTTGACCCTTAATTCTTTAACTTTAGATTTTGTCTGGCTGTTGTCTGTGACTTATAACAGCCAGATGAAAAAAAGCGATCTGATGGTGTTGGTTGTGTTTCAACACAATCATCAATTGACCTGAGTCGTTGAACTTGTCAAGAGCATAAATTCTGAGTTAAAATTACCTTAAGGATTTTAGCAGCATGGTCATTTTAGGACATAACATTTTTAACGTTTTCAATGAAAAATGATTAAAAAAAATATCGCAAAATATTTTATATAGGCACACACAGACATCAAGAATTAACACACTAATCTCAGCAATGGTGGCAAACAGATCACCTCTGAACATAAGATCATTATTTATTCACGCAGCAATGCATGATGGGAGCCATGAATGAGTTTTGATTGGTGGCACCAAGAATGCAATGCAACATGATTTATAACACTTACCATTCTTGAGATTCAAAGGCTAATTATTGATGTCTGTGTGTCTTAACATTGTAAAGAAGTAAAAAAGAAAGAAAAAAAAGAAAAGCTTTTAAGAAATTATTTTGAATATTCTGTAGATATTGAGAATATTATACTGCACAAGGTCAATGCTGCTATAATTAATAAAGTAAACCTCACTCAGAAATTAGAATCTATATAAATTCAGTGATTCAGGTTAAATGATTGTGTTAAAACACAACCATCACCATCAGATCACCTTTTCTATTTGTTCATCTGGCTGTTATAACTCATGTACAGCAGCCAAACAAAATCTAAAGTTAAAGAAATAAGGGTCAAGAGCCCAACTAAACCAAACACTGATCTCCATAATGGTGACTTAAAATTCTGTTTTTCTCCTTCAGTGATTCTGCTTGTTAACATCAGGTGTCTTCAATAATGCTCAATCATCACTCAATTATTCACTTAATTATCTCATTAACTTTAACACTGCTTCAGTGTTCATTTAACACTCTGCTCAGAGTTTATATAATCCACACTCTCAGTGTTAATTTAACACTGGGGATTTTGCTGTGTATGGCATGTTCATGTTGACTTTTTTGAGAGGGCTCAGACTTTATGGTGTCAGTAGTAGGATTGTGATGTTGTTTTATCAAGCAGTACTGGAGAATGTGATTAGATACGGAATACACTTTTGGCATGGTAATTTGACAGTACAGTTAAAATCCAGGCCTGCATGTCTTATTCAAACGGCCATGAAAACCATGGGCAGAATAGAACATTTTTATCTCCAGACCCTGTACATAAAGTCTATGCTGAGGGAGGCATTTAAAGGTGCAATGTGTAAAAAATTTGAGCATCTATTAACGGAAACGCAGCAAAATCGCATAGCAAAAAATGCAGAAATCCCAATATTTTCAAAAGGTTCACAAACTTTTTTTACATGCACGTGTATTACCTATGTTCCTGTGCTGTGTACTTGAGTAACTCTGCGAGTTGTAGTGGGTACTTGCAGATCTTCTGCACAGGGGTGAGGAGGAAACCATCGATGGCGATGTCGATCATCTGCTGGAGGAGGCGACAGGCTTCAAAAAAGTGCTGATAGCGTCCATCCTTCATCAGCTTGGAGAGCTCCATACAGGCATCAAGGTGGTTGTTGCAATACTCTGAATAGATCCAGAAACCGTCTTGCTGTATGGAAGACAGTCATTAAGATTCACGAATCAGTAAAACGTTTGAATGGTCAACCCAATCATTATACAGACATTTTCTAGATTTATTATGAAAGATCTTTAAGGTACATCAGCCAAATATGGCTAAAATTTCAAATAAGATGTTGTTAATATCAAGTCACACAGCAATTTACTCACATGTTCCAGAAAACATGGTCCAATTTCACTAAGATGGGGATCCTCAATGTTGTACTGTTTCTCCAAGTCCCGCACAAATCCCATTTGAAATCTGTAGATTTCCTCAATGTTACCAAAAATCACTTTCAATTGGTCATCATTGAACATGTCAATCCTCTTTCGGCACTGCCTCAAGTAGCCCTACAGAGAGAAACACCTTGAGTTTAGCATTCTGCAAGCCCCAGACGAGCAGATCAAGTGATGTCCACCACAGACCAACAGCGAAAGTGTGCGGAAACTCATTCTTCCTTAGTGATTATGTCTCTTCAGTAACCTTGGATTCATTTGGATTGTTTTTTACAATGCTACAAATAATGTTTTGAATCCTCAACGTTTTAGTGGAATGGACTTCAATAAATGGACAGATTTATCTTCATTTATGTTTCGAAGACGAATAAAAGTCTTACTGTTTTGGAACAAAACGAAGGTGAATAAATTATGGGAACTTTAATTTTTGGCTGAACTATCACTTTAATCTCTCAATGATACCAATAATGGCAGCAGTACCTCACAAATGTCCTTCAGGTGTTTGATATAGTGACGCTCAGTGCTCATGATCTCATTGATAACGTTGGCCCTCATCTGATCTCGGTTCTGAAGTGGTTGGCCAATGCACAGGCAGCCGTTGCTCGGGTCAGTGTGTCCATTCTGCACCTCATTGGCACTCTCAGTTGATTCTGTGGCAACATTTTCCTGGTTAACCCATAGCTGGCAGGAAAAAAACAAAACAAAGGCATAGAGTCATACATTATGCAGTTTCTCCAAGCTGTGAGTTTTGCAAAGGGGAACAGGTCTGACCCCAAATTCTCACTGGGATCGAGATAGGGCTTGCTGACTGACAGACAGTTGTTTGGACTGAGAAGTTAGGGTAGAATGGTTAAAAAATTTTAAATTAATTTTGGTAACACCTTCATAATCATGACATGACACATAAGGACGTTTTTCATTCATGTTTATGACAACTGTTATTAAGTGCCATTCGCTCAGTTATGACATTTTTAATGCAAATATGTCATTGTTTGAGATGCTTGGCAATGAAACATTGACATAAACCAATACATCATAACCTGTGTCTTTGTCATGACAACTTGACATTACTAAGAGAACACAACCTGTCATAAATATGTCATAAGCATGACATAGCAGATTAATTATCATTATCATAATCATCAGGTTAACATTACATGAAACTGTCATGTGGTTGGTTTTGACACTGGCTGTCATGAAGCCATTATAACATTTCTAATGACAAGTTGAATTTTTTACCACTGTAGTTGAGGTCATGAAATATATTCATGACACAGTTATAATGCCTCATGACAGCCAAAGTCAAAACCAACCGCATGACCCATAAAGCTAAGTGGTTCCTTAAGTTTGATAATTAATCTGCTATGTCATGTTTATGACATATTTATGACAATTTATGTTGTTTTGGTAATGTCAAGTTGTCATTACCAAGACATCTCAAACAATGTCATATTTACATCCAAAATGTCATAATTGAGCGAATGACACTTAATGACAGTTGTCACAAACATGCATAAATCTCCTTCATATTCATGGTATGCGTCATGTCATGGTTATGAAGGTGTCATGTCAGTCTTATGCACACCCCTTCAAGTAAAGTGTTACCATATTTCTTTGCAGAGTTCCCATGAAGATAGTTGTTCTTTAAGTATTTGGACTGGACACTTGTTATTCCAAACGATTGACGACTTGGAGTCTTGCTCTCATGGCCTTGGTAATAAAATCTGGGTTTCAGCTTATGGTTTCTTAAGACTGCATTGTGTGGCAAGGTGGCACAGAAGCTGCTTCTAAAGTAGCATATATGCAGCTCACATAGACTTTTTTATGTTTTAATGGAGCCCAGAAATAATGGTTGCATAAATCGATTTAAATAGGAATCACAATAGCTTGTTTTCACGTGACGTCACGCCACTGCATTGCCAATGGAGATGGAGGGCAGGAAGTGATTTTCTATATTAGGAAGTCCGAAATTCGCATCCGAAATGTTCGCACGTTAAAAAAAATTCGACCTCACGTTATGTCAGTCACGCTTGCACACCGCCTCCGAAACTTTCGTCCGTCATAAAATTAATCGGATCGGGTTCGATTTTCTGCGTTTTTCGCATCCAGAGCCAGCATTTTGAGAGGTCTTTTGACAATTCAGGGCCGGGGGGAGCTCGTCCTCAAATCATTGCACATATGCGCCGTGCTTTCAGTTTCGGTTTTCAATTCGATCAGGTGTTTATGTTCTCTTCTCTATATTGGATTATGAATTGAATAAACCTCCCCTTTCAATCAGATTGAAATTTAGGATCGAATAAGGTGTGATCGAGCAGCCTATTCGATAACTAATGTATTATTTGGGCACAATATATGCACAATAATAACAGCCTAGCTGTTCTGTCTGCCTGGCGCTTCCACCGGGCCGCGCGCGGGTGTGTGTGTGTCCATGCCTGGTCCATACCAGACACACTGCCAGTCTCCGTTCAGAATCGATTGGTTTGCGGAAATTGGTGGTCTTGTTTTTAATATGTGGCTCCAGAATCGCTAGCAAAGCATCCAACTGTCCCACTGACATTCTGAGGTAAATTTTGAATCGCTCAGGAATTCGCAACTCCTTGATAAGGAACTCGATTGGATGGACGTAATATTTTCTCTTTCTTCTCTTTTCAATAAGAGGGAGGGCAAAAATCATCCTCACTGCTTGACGAATCCATTTGGTATTTTTGCGTTTTTTCCCGCAAAGGTTTAATAAATACGCAACGGACTCGGTGTGCAAGGTTTCTATGCGTGACGAATTTTTAGGCTGACGAACACGAATACGCATCCGAAAATTTCGTAATCAGTGTGCAATGGCCTTAACACACTCAAAATGCCTATCTTTTGCGTTGTTTATAGTTGCTCAAATCGATCAAAACACGAGGAGTTTTTATCGTGTGCCAAAAGTTGTTGTTCATAAGGGGGGAAAATACAAGAAATTGACAGAAAAACACCGGGAAAATGCCTTGCAAACGTACGTCTGCGGTCGGGAGGAACCGAATGGGAAAATGCCTGTGTGTGTGTGTGTGTGTGTGTGCAGTGATCACTTCCTCAAATGTGAGTATACATTATTTATGTGGCTGATAATTACATTATTCGGGTGTTTAAATACACTTATGTGGCTGTTTGTGTAACGTACCAGTTTCCAAGTTTTTTAAAGTCAAAGTATGTCTGTAAGACGAGTTAGTTGCTGATATCTAGCCTCGATGGCAGGCAAATCTCTCAATTCAGTTGAAAATCGGTCCTCTTCATAACGTAAGGATCACGTCCAACATATGTTTCGATTTTCTTTTTATATATTTCTCTTGTAATAGCGTCTAAAGTAGTACAGTACGGATTTTCCTCCATCTCGTCCATTGCGCTCTTCACTCCTTGCCCTCCATCTCCGTTCCGCGCGTCAACACAATCACGTGACTGCAAACCACCTATTCTGGGAAACACTGAATCACACTCTTGAATGTTATATCACGATAATACAGTCGTGCTCAGAATTAATGGCAAAAATAAATCTGTATTGTTTATCCTTTTGATCTTTCGTTCAAAAAATTGGCAAAAATCTACAGTAACCTTTCATTGAAGTACAAGAATTTAAAGTGGGGTGGAAATCACATTATAAAATGTGTTGGCATTTTCTCCAATACTATTAATATTAAATATTACATTTAATTTAAATGTTCACGGTTCCCGCCTCCTTCGTTCCATAACAACTGAAATGCATTACAAATACTTTTTGCAATCTCCTTTTGTCAAGATAACAACTTGTTTTCTCCTATAATGCCTGATGAGTTTGGAGAACACCTGACTAGAGATCAGAGACCATTTCTCCATACAAGATCTCTCCAGATCCTGCAGATTCCCAGATCCATGTCGATGCTTCTTCTAACTCAGTTCTGCGCACATCAGGTTAGGGAACTGGGACTGTCATGGCAGAAGATTCATTTTGTGCTCTGTAACAAACTTTTCTGTTGATTTTGATGTTTGTTTTGGATTGTTGTCCTGATGGAAGATCCAACCACGGCCCATTAGAAGATTTCTAGCATGACTTTTATCTGTTGATATTTGATAGAATCCCTGATGCCATGTATTTGAACAAGAAGTCCAGGACCTCCAGCAGAAAAATATCCCCATAACGATAAAGATATTAAAATGTACACATGGGGTACTTTCTATCCTTGTGTGCACAAACCCCATCTAGTGTGTCTGCTGCCAAGAAGCTATTTTGTTAGTTTCATCTGACCACAGAACCCTGTGCCGTTTGAAGTTCCAGTCGTGTCTGACAACTCAATTTACTGGAGTTTGTTTTTGGAGGAGCGAGGAGGAGGGGATTTTTTCTTGAAACCCTCCTGAACAACATGTGGTGATGTAGGGGTTGTTTTATTTATTTATTTATTTATTTTTTATAGGCTTTCTGACCCCCAAGACTCAACTAATCTCTGCAATTCTTCATCTGTGATCCTTGAAGAGTCTTTGGCTACTCATACTTTCACCCTCACAGTTCATTAAGAAAATATCGACAAGCGTCCTTTTCCTGCAGATTCGTAACATCTTTAGTTGATTGGAAATTCTTAATTATTGCCCTGATGGTCAAAATGTGAATTTTCAATTCTTTAGCTATTTTCTTACAGCCACTTTTTTTATTTTATGATGCTTAACAATCTTTGAATGCACATCAGAACTATATTCTTTGGTTTTACTCATTGTGAAGGATGATTAAGGGGATTTGGCCTTTGCATTTCCTCATTTTTTAAACTCCTGGGAAACATGAAGTCATGGCTGGACAATTTCATATTCCTAGTCACCCTGGTGTGCTAAAAAAGGTAAATGTTAATGGGAATATCCTTCAGAGATATTTTACTCATAAAAAATTCAAGTTGTGCCAATAATTGTGGCCAACGTGTTTTGGAGAAAAACATTTATTTCATAATGTGATTTCCCCTCACTTTTAATTCTTTTATTTCAATGAAAGGTTGAATTTTTGGCATTTTTTTAATGAGAGATCAAAAGGATAAACGATGCAGATATATTTTCACAGCCACCTTTGATCATATTTACCAGAGATGCCATTCATTCTGAGCACGACTGTATGTCTTCAGGATTGTTTCCGTGGTGGGTCAGCGCTAGTATATTTTGTGGTTTTAAATGCACTGAGAAGGGTTTGAAGGTTATGGAAAAGGGTGATGTTTCAATTTTGTTTTTAAAATTCACTGAATAAATAGAAAAAAGAATGTACTTTAAAAAAATTAACTGGGTATTATGGGTAAATTCCAAAAGTAGTGTGGTACTTCATTAGTTCAAAGTAATGTGAAGATCGTGCATCCCTGTGTAACACACACTGGATGTAAGAAACGTTGTCGAAAACATCTATGAAACTTGCTTCATAGTCTTATTGTGGGTTTTTTTTTTGTATGTTAATTATGAAAACATGTTTTTGGTGTAAAATAATTTAAAGTAAAGTACGAATTTTAAGGCACACTATGTATATTTTTGTTGCTAATTCAAAACAAAGGCGTATCTTGATGACGTTGTGATTTCGGCTCGAGAGCAGTGGAGCTTTTATTATGCCGCAGACGACCTCTCCAGGGGTCTCATTTATAAAACTGTGCGTAGGATCCTTACTAAAAGTGTACGTGAAACGAAAGCCAAAAATGGCGTACGCCAAAAAATATTCAGATTTATAAAACCGTGCGTACGCCAGAACCTGCGCAGAATTCCCTTTATAAATCCCAGTCAGCGGAAGAATGCGCGCACATGCGTCTCTTCCCCAAAATAACCATATATGGAGCTTACAATGCCAAGTTTAAATATGCATATCCTCATCTGCATATCATTTGCATGTGATTATTCATCCACGTGAGACCATGTTAACGTACAAGACCTTAGGAAAATATGAAATACAGATGTGCCGTGTCACAATAATTTTTTTTTTTTTTTTTTTAGTAGCCTATGCCCTTGCCTTGTTTTTGAATGAATAAATCAAATAGTGTCAAATACATTTCAGAGAAAGATTTTCTCAATCTTTTCAATTGGCCAAATAGTATTTTTAATGAATTTATATTTTTAATGGAAACAGATAGACATGGTTGTGGATTATGGAACTATTTTCTCAGACAATCTGCTATTATCATAAAACACTGCATGCCAGAGGGAAAATGTTCAAAAGCATTTCATCCACAACAAATATAGCCTATATTTCTATTTATTGAATATTTATTTTTTGTAACTTCTCAGTAATGATTTCATGTAGTTTAAGTGTTTAACTCCATTAACGATAATGGCATATTTAATCTAAATGTTTATCAGAAGTAAAACAGTTTAAATCATTATTTCATTTATTTAAACTGTTATTGAGAACGTGCACTTTATTTATTAGCCTACTCATGAAGATTTAAGGTTCATCTGCCGTTAGATTATGTGCGTCAGTTTCACTAAACGGCCCAACGCGCATGCTGGCTCGGACACGAAGGGATGGCTATTGGCTTCAAGTGATTGGCTTGGTCGGTGAAATTTTATTCGTGGGCTATTATCTTTCTGTATCCTATATAGTATAATTTTCTTTAGATTTTCGTTCTAAAAGTGACCAAAAAGACATTTAACTACAGCTCACCATCAGTGTCTCCAATTCCCTTTGTCTCCAGAATGTGCGTACGCACGGCTCAAAGTTTGCTTCTGTCACCGTCCCGGTACCGGGACACCTAACTTTACTTCACTATATTTCTATTAAATCCTAATCTAATTATGACAAATTATATATTGTTGGAAAGGTCTAAGACTTCTAAATAGATATTCTACCCCTGTTTTGTGTTAAAAATTATGTAGGAAGAGTAATTGATGAATTTATGACAAGAGTGCACCTCAAAAGATCTGCATCATAACAGGAGTTTTGACCTTTGTCAAAAAAGTCGATGAACCCACTTTTAATCACTGAAACTTCTGTTTGTATGCTAAAAGTTCATAATAAACATATAATCTAGTATTTTTCAATAAAAAAAAATAGTACAATATTATCCTCTAAAAATGATAATATTTATATTTATTATCCTCTAAAATATAATATTATTTTTTATCGCCTTTTTATTATATCACATATTTTAGTAGTTATCATAAATTAGGTATCATTTGAAAGCTTATAAACTCAGAATTCATCGTGTGAAAACTGTTTTATAATTGAAAGTTGGGTTACCATAGAAACGGTATTTATTTTATCAGGCTCCTCCCATTTTGGGCATCATTATATTTCATTATTTATGATCAAAACCTTTTCTAATCTTGACAAAACTGATATTGTCAGAAAGGTCTGAGTCTCAAGGTTCCAAATTTTGTCACAGAATTGATATTTGGACAGAAATGTATTAATTTGTGAAGGCAGAATGTATACAACTAAATTCAATGGAATTCAATGGCACCCGGTGGCTATTTTTGGTACTACGCCTAAACAAACTCTCATGGGAACTTCAATTTTTGTGATATCAACTTCAAATTTGGAACATAACTTGATAAGATGTATGGCTTTGATTTTATAGAAATTTTAGAGTAAAAAATATTTTATAAAATATATATTTTATATAAAATAAAAAATATATAGTACAGTATATTTAATTTACTGTAAATTTAAACTTCCATAACTTTTTCATACTTTCATTTTTTGAAGTGTTTTCACTTGTTTTTCAGTGTTTTCTTTAAAACAAGACCAAACTTGGGTATATATTCCAAAGCATTCTTAAATTACAACCATTTAAGTTTGAATAGTGCATTTTAACCCCCATTCTCAAAAAGGGGGGTGACAGCTAAGGGGTTAATGGTGCGCACATTCTCCCGTCAAGTTAGTTTTTTATAGATCACAAACTTTGCGTGGAAACTGGCGTACGTACGTTTCCAGCCCCGTTTTGTGCATACGCACGCTTTATAAATGAGACCCCAGGTCATATATGTGGGGTAACAGTTTAGATACATTTGAGTGTGTTGAAAGTTATGTTATAACTACTCTGTGTGTTTGCTACTATGCGGCTACACTTGCTACACACTGCAGCGAACTAGATTGATATTATGTATGATAAAACATGGTACTTGCGGTAAATCAAGAGGTTGAGCTATATAACAATGATTCGTTTTCTGTCGATGAATTTATCCAAACAGTTGCTCAACTGTTTGATAAAACACATAATATATTAAAGCGTCTTTGGTGTTTCTATGGTTTCTACAAAAAAAAATTGAGGGTAACGCAGGTATGATGTCATTGATAGGCGACGCACAGACACGGTTAAAACTGCTTGTTTATCTGGATTTAAACATTCTTCGAAACATTTAGGATAATGTAAAGCAGCTGCTAACATTCATTTGAACAAGAGGTCTGTGATTTGGAGGCTTTTACAAAACTGATCCAAAGCAGCACATGTAATGAAGAAACATGCTGAATACTTATGTTCTATATCTACTTGAAAAGCTATGATTTCAATTGGATGCTTTAAATGATTTGTGAGAGACGGCTGTGTTGACAAAATCAGCAGCACTTGATGAGATTTGAGCAGCTGGGAACGCACCTTTGCTGTTGTGTTATGGAACCTTGGAGTTGCTATAGGGTTGATATAGAAAACTGGTTTTGTGTAAGGTTGAGGAGGGTGGGGATCAACCTTTGGAAAGAATGACAAAAATACACTGTTTTAATTTACTCTTGTTGTGGAAGAATAGAAATGGAACAGTGAGATGGAAGTGGCTTGGCAACACTGATTCAACACTGACTGCGTTCATTTCAAAGTCCAGACACACGCATCTAATCAGGATCAGTGTCCCAAGACCTCATTTCTTCACTTGAGACCTTGAGCCGCATCACAATTAACTAGTAAGATCAATGACCTAATAAGGTGAGATGGGAGAGGTAGTCCAAGATGTGACTGAAACCTACCCTCACAAAGCTGGCGGGGAACCAGCCCTCCTCGTCATCGATTTGACCCCACCACCAGTCTTTATTGGAGGCATCCAGGACTTTGATGACGTCTCCCGCCTTGAACGCCAACTCCCTCTCGGCCATCGTCACGTGATCCCATACTGCCTCTGCGCTGACCACTGAACCTCCGCTGATCAACTGTAGAAAAATACAATGACCATCATGGAGAAGCGTTCACTCTTTCGCATACGTGACTGTTTCGAGACACACTTCCCCCATGTGCCATTCCTCAGAAAACAGGTAGTTCCGTCTCATACTAGTGATGTATGTCTCGAGACCACGTTTGTCACGGCCTTGGCGGTCTTTGGTCTTGATCTTGTCTTGGTCTCGGATCTCTCGGTCTTGTCTAGGTCTCGGGAGATTTTCATATTATCTTAGGGTATATAATATGCAGAATGAGCCTAAACCATGCTTTCTTGCAGTGATTCACAGGCTCATTTATAATTCACACATGCAGTACAACACTGTAAAAAATTTGGAGTAGGATTTACTTGAAAAAACCTCGGTAAACGATCTCACTCAGAAAATGCTAGTAAATTTACAAAGATTTGCCAAGTAAAAACCTAAACATATTTATCAGTAGCTTTAATTAGAAATCTTTAAGTTAAATTTACTTGGAATGTGGAATTAAGTAAACTTTACAAAAAAATAGGTAATTTTAACTCAGCTTGTAAAAGGTTGATTAATACCGATTTCCTTTGCCTTTGTATTACACTTCACTAAAACAATTATCTTGAATTTTATTAGTCATTTATAGTATGTTCTTTACTTAGATCATCTAAGTATTTTATATATACATCATGTCAGACTTTAAGCCTTATGTGAATGCAAACACCTCAATACTTGGTAGACAATACACAATGGTGGTAACATTTGATGGATCGTTTTTGTGTTTGAATGTGTCGTTTTAAGCAAAAAATGTACTCGAAATGTCACAAAATGGCAATTTACTAATACTGAAAACAAAAATCAATGATAAAACAGTGTAAATACAGCTGGAAACCAGTGAAAAATGAACTTCATTAATTATTCAAGGTCCAGTGCATGATGGGAACCCCAGTATCAGAAAAGTTGAGTAATTTTTACTTAATTTTATTGAGTTGATATTACACTTTCACTTATACTCGCTTGAAATAAGTACTGATATGCAATTTACTTAGTTTTTTTAAATTCTTGCCTCAACTAACTTTTTCAAGTAAATTACATTGGGTTTTTTCACTAGTATTGACTTAACCAGTGAACAATTACTTGTCCTTTATGGCATCTATCTGCTTGTTGTGACGTAAGGAATGCTGTTTCCGGGTACTCTGTTTCAAGCGAGAATAGTGATGGCTCGATCATGAACTAATTATCATTTTGAACAAATCTTTAATATGACTCAGGAACAACGAGTTGTCTCAGAGGCTGATTTGTTCATTCTGCATTGACCGCGCATGCACAAAATCCAATAGGATCTGCACAGGAAACAGACATTCATTCACCTCTTGGGTTTGAGTCACATGACAGCTGTATTGGATACAGAAATTAGTTAATAATTCCCAACCTTCCTTGCAAACAAGCACGTAGTACGTTTTTTTTTTTTTTTACTATTTCCTTTTTGATGCATTTCTGGTCACAAATTTCTTACAGTTTATAAATTTGTGAATTTCAGTCATGATGGTTCCTTTCCAAAACTCGCGATGAATGAACAACTTAGACCCGAAGACTCGGGAGGTGAACTAACCGACATGGACGCCAATCATTTTAACGATTCATAAAAGGTTAATCATTTTGTGACCATCCGAGATTTTAAGTAATTTAAACCCTAAACTTTTTATTTTATTTATTAATGATATATCTGAAGCTTCTAAAGAGATGAATATTTTGTTATTTGCTGATGACACAACGGTATTCAAGTCCGGGACAGATATAAATGAATTAATGACCATTATGGAAAGGGAAATGTCAAAATTAAAGAAATGGTTTGATTGTAACAAACTGTCTTATCCCTTATCCTTATCTTATCCCTCAAACTGGGATAAGACAAATTATATGGTTTTTGGAAATACGGGAAAAAAAAAAAGGTACAAAATTAATCATTGAGGAAGTAAACATCGAATGTGTTCCAGAAATCAAATTTTTGGGGGTTGTCCTAGACAGTAAACTTAGCTGGAAGCCTCATATAGAATATATCAAAGGTAAAATTAGTAAGAATATTGGTATTCTATATAACGTTAAACATATACTAGATGAAGCTTCATTACAGCTTCTATACTTAACCTTAGTTGTTCCATATTTAACATATTGTACTGAAGTGTGGGGTAATGCATGCAACAGTTATACAGATAAGTTGTTTGTACTCCAGAAGAAAGCCATAAGAATTGTGACTAACAAAGGTTCACGAGACCACACAAATAAAGTGTTTATAAAACTGCAGACTTTGAAATTTGAAGAGTTGGTCAGTTTCAAAATACTACAAATTATGTGGAGAGTGAAAAACAATTTAGTACCAACACATATTAAAAATAAATTCATGTTAATCACAGACAATAACAACAGAAGAAAAGGCAATTTTAGTGTACCATATTCACGTACCTCAAAAAAACAAAAGGGGTTTCTTGTAACGGGGATTAGTTTATGGAACTCTTTGGATAGAGGTCAAAAATCATGTAACACGATTGTTCAATTCAATAAAATGTACAAAAAATCTGTACTTGAAAAATACGAAGGAAGTAATTAAGGCATAAGAAACAATGTTTTATTTATTTATTTATTTATTTATTTTTTGTTTTTTTCTTTTTTTTCTAAATTGGTAATTGTTAATTACTGAGATGTGAAGTAATACTGAAGTAATATATATATATAAAAAGGAAGGAAAAAAAATGGCGAGCCATCTGTTCTGTATAAGCTTAGATTATTGAATAAAGGGGCATTAATTTATAAGACTATGTCTTCTTTATGCTCCTGTTCAGTAATGAATGTTATTATTTTGTTGTTGTGGAGATTATTGTTGTGTCTATAATAACATCATGACTGAATAAAGAAATTTGATTGATTGATTGATTGATAATTTACTATTCTCACCACCTTATTAAAAAATTGCCATGTCTTTTTTAAATTGTAGTACTTAAATCAAGGTTTACCAAGGTGTTACTGTAAATTTACCCGACTTTTCATATCAACAGAAACATTTACTTGAGACTCCCCTGTTTCAGAGCAGTCATAGTTAATGATATTCTAAAGCCCACCGGCACGTTGACGTGATTGGTTACAAGGTTGTTTGTGACGTAAAAAAACACCAGCGATTTCAAACCGCATTTTTGAGACTGTCTTTGGTTCAGGGCAGTTTTAAAGCCACAATATGTATTTTTTCTGCATTAAAAATAGCAAAAATAACTGTATCTATGTTTTATATTTCTATTAGATGTGTACTTACATTATCCCGACAGTTTCCACCAAATTTCAAATACGGAGAAATTTATAGTTTAATTCGAAGACACGGGACGTTTCTTTATTTCCGTTTCGTCGCCCGTCTATGGCGTCATATAACCTTTGACTCCTCTATTTTTTTTTGACTCCTTGCAGAACCCGGCGAAACCGCCAAACACAAAGGGGAACACTGGACTACCGCCAATAAAGCAAAGAAAATTACGAAGAAAAAAAAGTAGTACGTATTTTTATGTGTGTAAATCACGTGCCCGAGCGCTCACTCTTAACAGACACACTGTCCCCGGTGCTGCTCGCGACGCGCATAAAGCGCTCCCCGTTCCCAGTAACCGTGTCGTCTCCTTCAAAACAGCCAACTGTTGCTGTTAGCGAGCCGCGCACATTGAATACTCTTATGAGTCAGGCTGCGAATGTACGTGCCCGCTTCAGCGCGCTCATGCTTACTAAATAAACGCCTCACCTCCGGCGCCACGTACTTACTACATTCCCTTTAGCCTTTAGCACATAGTGGATGAATAACGCAAACCCAGTCAAACGTTTGACTGCAGTATCTTATGTGCTTTATAATCCGGTGCGCTCTATATATATGAAAAATGTTCTGAAATAGGTCATTCATTGAAGTAGCGTAATATTAATATTTATATTCGTCTGTATAATAGTTATGGACCACGATTACGCTTTGCCTGCACGTTCTGCTGCTACAGCCAGCTCATTAGCTAAAGCTCAAACGTACCTGAAAAATATGACCCGAGAAGGGTTTGGGACAGGAGAAGCGTGACACAGGTAAACATTGGGGTTGCATTTAAAGCTTCTTGACAAGCTAAATCTACAAAGAGATGCCGTATATCCGTATATTTTGTGAAACGATGATGTCATGTCATGAGCTGAGCTGGTTGTCATTGACAGCGACAACAACTCCCGTGAGCCCACGCTCTTTCCCGACGTCATCAAAGTACGTCTTTTGTTATTATTTTAACGAGTGACCCCTGGTGGCCAAAAATCGCATACTGTACGTTTAAGGAGAAAATGCTCCGCAGCAATGGTGTTGACTTATGAATTTGCACATGGTTTGCCTTAAAGCATATTAAAAACATAAACGACATTAAAAACTTGATTTTCACCACAGGTAGTCTTAAATGAAGTTCAAAACGTAGAACGTAAGTTAAGTAGGTGCTCGGGTTCGAGCCTCCTCCAAGGACAGCAAGCCAAGTTAGTTTAATTTTAACCTTTAAGGCTGAACGGGCACATGAACTAGTGAAACACTGATTGCTCAGCTTTCTTTCTTAAATCAAGCAACTCATGTGATATAAACAGTAAAACACACAGCAGGAGTACTCTTGATTGGCTGTTTGGCTCCTCTGACAGTGTCACCACGAGGATGAGTGCAGTCAGTGCATTTGTCGATGGTTGTCTTTGAACTCATCTGCTGCGTACAGGTACCGCACATTAAGACTCCAGCCACAAATGCCGAAGCCTTCTCTGGGCAAAGACTGCAAACATCATATGCCCAAGACCATAACTACAAGAAGATCAAACACATACATTATCTGGAGGATTAATGCCAATAAACGTCCTCTCAGGCATTTAGCAAGTCATTTTAGACTGTTCTGTGAAGTTATTAAAAATCCAGAAGAACTATGTCAACACATTATAATATTAAGACAACTTCAAAGTCACCTCTCACTGCGAAGTCTCAGGATTCCAGTGAATGT